GTCAGGCTCACTTCTGCATAGAAACCAATCAGCTTCTAAAGTATATGGCAGTATATGGCAAAAAGCAGCTAACCCGTAGGAAAGCCACAGGAAAGCCACAGGTAAACCTCACCACATCATTGTGAAAGCAGCCTTATAGGAGGCTCAAAACAGTAAAGACTCGTCTACATTTGCAGTTTGGGGTGGTGGTAACCCTATTTGTGAGACATATTTATATCCCCTTCTGCTCCTGGAGGACATCGGATGACGAAACGCGTAGGGCAATCGGAGGTGACGTCACCACGTGTGTGGGCGAGCTGCCGTTATCTATTTGATTATCTATGCACTATATGCTAGTGTTGGCTTTGACACTGACAAAAGTGAGTGGTTTTAACATGTTTTGTATTGAATATAAATTCCTGGATGGTTTTACACTATGTGGATTCCTTTTTTCTTCCTTCATGTCCCATTCTGAGCATATGAGGAGCCAATTGTTATTTGAAGGAGTTTCAATCAGCTGGTGTATGCTTCTGAAGATCGTTGCTCCCAGAGCTTAAGCAGTTGTAGCTGGTTTATAATTTTACCTGCATGGAGCTCTGGTGAGTGGATTCAGTTCATTTGGTGGTGGATTTTCACAGTGTTTTTTGGGCACATTATACAAGAGTTTAATATAAAGGATTAAAGAAAATTAATTGTTTCACAAACACTACATTTATGAACACTATTACTTATACAGACTTTTTTGTTGGACAGTAATTTATTTGTTTATTCACATAATTATTTTTCACATTTTCCTCATTGAGTTGTTCTTTTTTATTTTTTTATGTCATTGTTTATTTATTTTGGTTGAGTTCACTCATTCAGAGATATAATAATTTGAGGAGCGCTGCCTTTTAGTTTTTTTCTGATAGATATGATTATATCCCCGCCCCCAACCATTGGTGTAGTGTCAGGGGTCGCAATGGTGACCACACCTCATACTCCAAGGGGCCCATACAACCTCCCTGTCACATTTTGTTTTACACTTGGACAAGAAGGGCAACATATACAGGAACCAAACCTCTCGGTTTTCCTCCTGCAACCGCTAAAACCTGGCTTCTACTCCTCTCCCTTATGATGGCACTTGGGCTTCAGGAGGAAAATGTTCATTATGCTATTCAAACTTTAAAAAAATGTAAATTCTGAACCATTTAATTTCATTGTGGCCCGCGACCAGTTACCAAATCACTTAAGTGGCCCTCGCTCTGCAAAAGGTTGAGTACCCATGGTATAAAGGCTAGATTCACATCTCTGCAGATCAGGAATGCATGCAAAATTGTGCTCTTTTTTCAACACACTGAAACGCACTGCACTTTAGCAAACACATGGGCAGGGGCGGACTCACCATTTGGAAACTCGGGCACAGCCCGAGGCCCCCGGGGTCAGTAGGGGGCCCCATGAGATGCCCCTGGTACCTTTTTTTCATAGGCTTTTTTGAGTTTGGGCAAGGACACAGGGGCCCCATGATCCCCTATTGCCCAGGGGCCCCATGAGTTGTCAGTCCGCCCCTGCACATGGGGGTTCCATTCTTAATGTCAACACTAGGCATCAGCAACCAGGGTGCGATCTGAGGGTGCTTGAAGATCACAGACTTAGCAATAGCATGCAATGCCAAGCCACAGCTAGTAAAAAATACTGTCATGCGTTATAAAGGGTATACATTCAAGAGATACATCAATAATTCTACCCCTTTACAAAACACTGGTTTGGCCTTCTTATCTTGAATATGCAGTTCAGTTTTGGTCACCAGTCCTCGTCTAGAGTTTATTGAAGGGCAACAAAATAAATATAGGGAATGGAGGACCTCATCTATGACCATCAATTACATTGATTAGAGTTATTCACTTTGGAGAAGAAGCACTTAAGAGGGGCTATGGGTACACTGTAAAAACATATCAAAGATGAATTCATTATCTCTACTAAAACTGTTTACTTTAAGGTCCCTGAAGAGGATACACAGCTGAGAATTGAGGTTAGAAGAAAGGTTTAACCTTAGATTGTGGAAAGGGTTCTTTTACTGTTAGAGCAGTTAAAATGTGGACCTCCCTCCCACAGAAGCAGTACTAGCCAGTTGCGGACTGACCATTTGGAAACTTGGGCGTTGTCCGAGGGCTCGGGGTCAGTAGGGGGCCCCATGAGATGCACCTGGTACCTTTTTCATAGGTTTTTTGAGTTTGGGCAAGGACACAGGGGCCCCATGATCCCCTATTGCCCGGGGGCCCCGTGAGTTGTCAGTCCGCCCCTGCACATGGGGGTTCCATTCTTAATTTCAACACTAGGCATCAGCAACCAGGGAGCGTTTCTGCGCACACCAAACCGCATGGTGCCATAGGACCGTGCAATTCAGTGCAGTGTGATTCCACAAAAGGATCAGGGACTTTTTTCCATGCATTTCTCATGGGTAGGGCAGTCCACTGAAATGAATGGGCTGCCCTACAAGTAGCCCACAGCGTGCAGAGATGTGAGCCAAGGCTCAATATAGGTACTTGTAGATTAGCAGCAATAGATAACAAACACTCAGTTTTAAATAACTGTTCTGGTTTCAAAGTAGATGCATACCCTAACTGGATGTCATTTTCAAGGTAAAGAGTACTGTGTATCAGAAACAATAACATTTGTTCTGTCAGCCATTTCCTGTCTACATACACAGCTCTTAGCATCAATTGCACTTCATTGACTTGTCACCCAATTCCAGGAAGTGCCTGAACAATGACTTTTATGAGGACCTTTATCTATTATTCTATTCTATTAATGAAAGCTACAGATTTAAAAGGATTGAACCAGCATTTGAAATTTCATTAACATTCTGAAGCATTATTGTTATTAATGGGGTTTAGATCTACTTTAAAGCCAATCTCAGTATACATACAAAATACAGGTGTTCTACAAAGCAGCTTGTGGGTGGGGCTCAACCAGCATACCAGAAAATTGGGAGGAGTCAGCATATGTTCATGCTTAAATGTTAGTTTATATTGTAGAAGTTGAATGATCACAGAAAAAGAAATGCACAACATATGTTGGGGGTTACACACTTCTGTAGCCTCTCTGGCAGTATTCCCGTGTGTAGCTCGGGGTAAAGTTTCAGCACCACAAGCGGTAACCCCCCCGAGCTACACTCGGGCTTACCATGCAGCGCTGCTCCACGATCGCTTGATCACTTGCCTTGTCCTGCACTCCCGCGATGTCCCTCCTGCAGTGTCCCCAGCAATGTAATCCAGCGGATGCCGGCATCTGTCATTTGGGTTCCATCTCCTGCGAGCGTTGGGACGTATGAGGGACGGAACAGCAGGAAATTTGAAAATGACAAAAAGTGACAGTTGCATATGTCAAATTTTTAGTCCTTTGATTAGTTTCATTTAAAAAAAATACTGGTTTCCTAAGTGCAAACCATCTCAGCACTTAATGCCCATTTCCAGGCAAAAAAACAAAAAAAACCCTCCCAATGCCTCCCAAACCATCAGCTCCTAATGTTGCCTGTCACATGACCTGGATTTCAGATAATACATCCGGTCTGTTCATTAATTTCTTTTTAAACATAATTGGGAAGGAGCTTGAGGGGGCTGGGATGAGTAAAGTGTACGTGGTATCCCCCACTAGACTGATAAATTAGCAGTGAGATAAACAGACATGTGGTACTCTGTAACTCAGTGTCAGGAATGTGTAGTGCTCTTGCTCCATCACATGTACTAAACAGACATGTGCTAGTCTCATTCCAGCATCTAGGTTTTGGTTGTGATTTATTCTCTCTGTCTGTCTGTCCACCCGCAAGATGATTGATGTGGCCAATCTTTGGGTGGAGATCAAACCTGATTTAAGCCTGCCAAGCCTGCAGTCTCATGCTTCTGAGAGCGTTTGTAACACATGCTCCAAGCTCCCTGTTTGTCTGCCCTGCTCTGCTACTTTGGATTCCCTCGTTGATGACCCTGGATCAGATATTGACTACTCTCTGCACTCTGCCTGCCTTTTGCCTATGGATTTGACCTTGACTATTCTTAACCTTGCCTGCCTTGTGCCTGGACTGTCACTGAGCCACTTTGCCAGTCTGCCAACTGCAAGTACCTGTTTCCTGTGCATAGATTGTACATGCCCTGGTGTGGTATCAAGACACTATTTGGTTTGATTATATTATTGAATTAAATGTATTATTATTATATTATTATTTTTTATGATTATTTATTAAATTATACCGTATTTTTCGCTCCATAAGACGCACTTTTTTCCCCCAAAAAAAGGGGGGAAAATGTCAGTGCGTCTTATGGAGCGAATATAAAGCGGCCGGTCCGGTATTTCTGCCGCCACCATGTCAGAATACCGGGCCAGCCGCTCAGCTGTTCTCTCCTGCAGGGCCTTACCTGTTCCTCACTCCAGCGCTGCACAGTCTTCCCGCGCTGGCTTCTGTAACAGCCGGGTGCCCACTGCGCATGTGCTGCGCTTTGTGAATGATATGGTGTCTTCTGGGACACATGAAAGGTCCCAGAAGGCGCCCAGCCATTCACAAAGCGCAGCGCTTCTCGCACATGCGCAGTGGGCACCCGGCTGTCACAGAAGCCGGCCCGGGAAGAAGAGGGAAGGACAACTCCGCGGAAGTGGGAGCGGGTACCTGTCAAATTCAGGTACCCGCTCCCCCTCCCTCCCCAAAGGTCAGCAGTCTCTGGTAATTCCCTGCACTGTCCGCAGTCTCTGGTCATTCCCTGCACTGTCCGCAGTCTCTGGTCATCCCCTGCACTGTCCGCAGTCTCTGGTCATCCCCTGCACTGTCTTCAGTCTCTGGTCATCCCCTGCACTGTCTGCAGTCTCTGGTCATCCCCTGCACTGTCTGCAGTCTCTGGTCATCCCCTGCACTGTCTGCAGTCTCTGGTCATTCCCTGCACTGTCCGCAGTCTCTGGTCATCCCCTGCACTGTCTGCAGTCTCTGGTCATTCCCTGCACTGTCTGCAGTCTCTGGTCATCTCCTGTACTATGTCTGCAGTCTCTGGTCATTCCCTGCACTGTCCGCAGTCTCTGGTCATTCCCTGCACTGTCCGCAGTCTCTGGTCATTCCCTGCACTGTCCGCAGTCTCTGGTCATTCCCTGCACTGTCCGCAGTCTCTGGTCATTCCCTGCACTGTCCGCAGTCTCTGGTCATCCCCTGCACTGTGTCCACAGTCTCTGGTCATCCCCTGCACTGTCTGCAGTCTCTGGTCATCCCCTGCACTGTATGCAGTCTCTGGTCATCTCCTGTGCTGTGTCCGCAGTCTCTGGTCATCCCCTGTACTATGTCCGCAGTCTCTGGTCATTCCCTGCACTGTCCGCAGTCTCTGGTCATTCCCTGCACTGTCCGCAGTCTCTGGTCATTCCCTGCACTGTCCGCAGTCTCTGGTCATTCCCTGCACTGTCCGCAGTCTCTGGTCATTCCCTGCACTGTCCGCAGTCTCTGGTCATCCCCTGCACTGTGTCCGCAGTCTCTGGTCATCCCCTGCACTGTCTGCAGTCTCTGGTCATCCCCTGCACTGTATGCAGTCTCTGGTCATCCCCTGCACTGTATGCAGTCTCTGGTCATCCCCTGCACTGTCTGCAGTCTCTGGTCATCCCCTGCACTGTGTCCGCAGTCTCTGGTCATCTCCTGTGCTGCGTCCGCAGTCTCTGGTCATTTCCTACACTGTGTCCGCAGTCTCTGGTCATCTCCTGTACTGTGTCCGCAGTCTCTGGTCATCTCCTGCACTGTGTCCGCAGTCTCTGGTCATCTCCTGCACTGTGTCCACAGTCTCTGGTCATCTCCTGCACTATGTCCGCAGTCTCTGGTCATCTCCTGTGCTATGTCCGCAGTCTCTGGTCATCTCCTGTACTGTGTCCGCAGTCTCTGGTCATCTCCTGTACTGTGTCCGCAGTCTCTGGTCATCTCCTGTACTGTGTCTGCAGTCTCTGCTCATCCCCTGTACTGTGTCCGCAGTCTCTGGTCATCTCCTGTACTGTGTCCGCAGTCTCTGGTCATCTCCTGTACTGTGTCCGCAGTCTCTGGTCATCTGTACTATGTCCGCAGTCTCTGGTCATCTCCTCTACTATGTCCGCAGTCTCTGGTCATGTCCTGTACTGTGTCCGCAGTCTCTGGTCATCTCCTGTACTGTGTCCGCAGTCTCTGGTCATCTCCTGTACTGTGTCCGCAGTCTCTGGTCATCTCCTGTACTATGTCTGCAGTCCATTGGTTCAGAATATTTTTTTTCTCTTGTTTTTCATCTCTAAAACCTAGGTGCGTCTTATGGTCAGGTGCGTCTTATGGAGCGAAAAATACGGTAATTTATGATTTCGTGTTTCAAGTTTTATCCTACCCGGGATGTTTACTAGACTCTTGTTCGGACAGATTTCAGTGAGTGATTCCTAAAAATTACAGCCTACAATAAAAAAAAAATACATATTTCCATGCAAAAAAATGTACCACTTTGAGCACAGAAATATGGACATAATCAGACCGCTAGGGAGGTTAAGCATAAAGGTAACGTTCATCAACAAGGCACTTTATCACTAGCAATATAATATGAGCTTTCTGACAGATTGCCTAAGAAGCCTTTCCCTTGGAGGATATATCAAGATTGCTGGGTCACCCTGTGATACTCTTGCAGTTTATATGGGAGACAGTTCCAAGAAGCTGGTAGTAGGGATATCCTGTAAGGGGGAACCTACTCTTTCCCTTCTCATCAGGTACCTTTCCCTAGCACTATTCCTACTTTCTCCATAACAAGCCGGGCACTGTCCCTGACTTACTCCGACATTCCGGGATCACCAATGCTGCAGAAACTAACATCAAGCACTTCTATGTCAAGATGACTGCCCATAACTCACAGGATTTTGGCATCCAAAGGAGGTGCCAGGTGGCCACCTGGAGTCCATAATAGGTGGGAAAAGCAGTCTCCAGTGGTTTCCTGCCAGACTAAAGAAGCAACAAAGTGCCACCTTCAGGTTAGTGGACAAACGTCAGTCCAAAACCTGCCCACAAGTTCCCTCTGCATCTAAAAAATGCTCAGTGGTAGAAGTGAGTAAAAGAGGAAAAGGACTCTTCATGTAACATGACTGGCCAGACAGCTGAAAAAAAAGATAATGCAAGGGGAAGGGGGGAAACTGGACACCCAGGGTGGAGCGCGATATTGGGCTTTAACTACTGTTGATGCAAAATGTCTGCCAGACAAGAAGTGCATTGTTTTTAAACAGTTGGCCAACTAACAGACCTGCATTATCAGAAAGAGCAATAAAGAACAAGCATTGTGCAGTACTGCATACCAGAAAGCAAAGCTTGCATATGTTATAATTAATAATATGACAACCACCATAAGCATATATAATTACAAACTATGCATTAAAAGGTTTCCAAACAGTAGCACAACAATTATTATCACATAAAATATTATTTCGAACCAGTGCCCCTTCAAATTATATCATAGTTACTAATTGGACTGTCTTGTATTTTGTGTGAGAAAAATTGCATTAGGGAACCGTCATATCTGGAAAGGTTCATTTTGCATAGAGACCTCTCTCTCCTCCCACTGAAGTCTTGTCATACTTTGCATATATACAGACTTTAGTGCAGCCAGGGTCATATAGAAAGGAGAATACTAACACGGAATACAACATGACCGAGATATATGGTTATTTAATAGTTCAGCCTGGATTTTTGCCAAGATGGAATCAATAACATGCTGATGCAATATATAATTCAATGTTTTGTTAGGGGTCCATTCAAAGGAATATGGCATCTTCCTGTAGGGAGTCCTTAGTAGCAACTGCTGTCTCGTAAGTTTCTCCAGTCAGATGGGTGAGTGGTTTTGGGCATGAGAAGTGAGGTTGGTTGGGTTCTGACAGCTAGTCTGAAGGGGTCTGGGCTGAGAAGATAAAGTGATGTTATTCTGCCCAGTGTGAAATAATTACTCCTCATTATTGTCAGCCAGTATTTGGACATTCTTGCCCTGGGGGAAGCATGGTACCTTTGGCTGTGTTCCCCCCGTAGTCTTGATAGCGCTTCCAATGGAATTATTGGAGAGAGGCACAATTATACAGCTCTGACTATTACTTAACAAGATATACTATAGAGAGAGATAGAAACCTAAAGATTAAAACAATAAAAGACCAAGCAGCATTCAACCTTTGTCTTAGAAGGAATGTATTTCTAATAGCTTTGTTTTGTGAAAGAACTGATCGAATGACAGTAAAGTTCATTAATTTTACTTATCCAGACGTCTAGATATCACCTTCTTTAATAGCACCATCAAAAGATCCTATAAATGTACCAGTGAGGAGAGAGATAAGATGGATGCAGATGAATTGACTGGGACAGCCTGGGTCTTCTTCATGAAATGAAAAGGATAAAGCAGTGCATGAGCCTGTCTGCTGTGAAGAGCAGTTTAGGATTGTCCTCAGACAGGTAACTGAGGAGTGGCCAGTAGTGGTGGTCAATAATTCTATATCTAGTTGAGACCTCTCTGTGGCCAATAGAGAAAACATCTTGGTTTTGGTTGCAATTACACAGAGTGACCCATGAAAAGTGAGTGCAGTTTCTGGTAAAATAAATGGGAACACATAGGAATGTACCAGGAGGAATTTATTGTGCTCTCAAGGTAGTAACAACAGTTAGGACTTACTACCCTATTACAACTGCAGAAAATAACTCAAAAAGTATGTAAAATCCAAATGGAATATAATACTTTTTGGGGCTATTATGTCTGTCCATATGTAAAATTTTTAGTCCTTTGATTAGTTTCATTTAAAAAAAAATACTGGTTTTCTAAGTGCAAACCATCTCAGCACTTAATGCCCATTTCCAGGCAAAAAACCAAAAAAACCCTCCCAATGCCTCCCAAACCACCAACCCCTAACGTTGCCTGTCACATGACCTGGATTTCAGGTAATACATCCGGTCTGTTCATTAATTTCTTTTTAAACATAATTGGGTAGGAGCTTGAGGGGGCTGGGATGAGTAAAGTGTATGGGATATCCCCCACTAGACTGATAAATTAGCAGTGAGATAAACAGACATGTGGTACTCTGTAACTCAGTGTCAGGAATGTGTAGTGCTCTTGCTCCATCACATGTGCTAAACAGACATGTGCTAGTCTCATTCCAGCATCTAGGTTTTGGTTGTGATTTATTCTCTCTGTCTGTCTGTCCACCTGCAAGGTGATTGATGTGGCCAATCTTTGGGTGGAGATCAAACCTGATTTAAGCCTGCCAAGCCTGGAGTCTCATGCTTCTGAGAGCGTTTGTAAAACATGCTCCAAGCTCCCTGTTTTTCTGCCCTGCTCTGCTACTTTGGATTCCCTCGTTGATGACCCCGGATCAGATATTGACTACTCTCTGCACTCTGCCTGCCTTTTACCTATGGATTTGACCTTGACTATTCTTAACCTTGCCTGCCTTGTGCCTGGACTGTCACTGAACCAGTTTGCCAATCTGCCAACTGCAAGTACCTGTTTCCTGTGCATAGATTATACATGCTCTGGTGTGGTATTAAGACACTATAGCATTGTGTATGAGTCCTGGGGGCAACCGAGGACCGATAGGCCTGCTTGCCTTATGGGAAAGGGGGCTGCTATAGGTAAAGAATAGAGAAGACAGCTATAATGTCTGATCACCTGCTTTAGGGACAAGCGTGACCCCCAGATAGACAAAAGAAACATAACTAGAGACTAATTTTTGTGGACACAGGCATGCTACATCATATGATTAATCAGTTAATAATTATGCAGTGCTAAAATTCAGACACTCAAATGACAAACTGAAAGTACTGAATCATCATGGGTCTCTTTTATAATACTGCATTAATGTATTAATAACCTTAACTTTAATGCAGATACCTCCCTCTACATCATTAATACAGATTTTATTTAAAAAAAATCAGGAACTCATAGCACAAAGGTTTTAAAAAATGCTTGCAATATATTAAACCTCTTTTTTGACATCACAAGGCTGGAGTTTGACCTTGATGTGGTTTGACAATTTTTTAAATTGTATGCAGAAAACTCCCTACTTGATCCAAGTACAGGCCTAAATTATACAGCCCAGTTGTTAGCTCTCTTTTGTCATTTCCCAAAAAATGACTTTTTCATACATAAATCCCACACAGTGTCTGAGCATCTGCGAGAGAAATAATGATGACATTGTCACCATGACTGTAGTTGTATGTATAGTGTTTCTGTGTAAATGCCTTCTTCTATCATTCCTGAAATACCAGATAAACATTCATTTATGTTCTGATCAATTAAGACATTGTTCAGTTTAATTCTCTGAATGCCATCTGGAAGACTTTATGAACTTGGAATATTTGTGAATTTGTTTTACATGAATCTGTGACTAGGCATTAAACTCAATTAAGTGAAAAATGAAAGCTTATTGCCTGATTTGTGTTCTATTGCATATCTTTGTAGCTGTGTCTTAACATCTACCGGTAACTTTGAAAAAGAGAGATACTTGCATCTGAAGTCCTACTAAGATCTCTCAGTAATCTTCATTCAGAGGAGAAGCAGGTTGGAATATATGTACTGCATATAATAGCTTGGGTAATGGATGTGGCATACATCGCCAGTTTGTATGTCAGTCCCAATATGAACCTTTTTAAGAAACTATCAATAAAAAAAAATGACAT